TGCCCGCCCGCCACCACCGGTCCACGGGCCCCCTGGGCACTGTCGCGGCTCGGGCTCTGGCCAGCCTCCATGGGGAAGCCTGCCCCGGGGAGTTTAGCAAAACAACACCCCGGTTTTACCAGTGAGGGGAGCCCCCAGACCCTCTGTGGCAGTTAAAGATAGAGTGACGCTCAACCTGGCAAACTCCAGCTGTGGGCAGAGCGCAGCCAGAGGGTCCTGGGGATGAGCCTGCAGCCCGGCCTGCGCCCTGACCAGGAATCGAACCGTGACCTCCTGGTTCACAGGTCGACGCTCAACCACGGAGCCACGCCGGCCGGGCCATTTCTTATTGCTGGTGTATGGCGGTGTCCGAGCCCCACCCCTCGTCCTGGCGGGTCAGTGCTGTGCTGGCCTCCCGACTGCGACTGCGTCCGGGGTGAGGGAGGGGCTGGGCAGGACTGCGCCCCAAGTCGGGGAGGTTGTCCCGGGCGTGGAGATGAGGAGGGACGGCCTCTCGCCCCAGAACCTGGCCTGTGGGCAGGGAGCCTGGTCTGGGGGCGGGAGGAGAACAGGACAGCCCCGCACCATCCCGTTAGAGCAGCCTCACGCCTTCCCGGGAAGCCAGTGCAGGAGGCCCTGCTTCAGGCCCTCTGCCACACAGAGACGGGGTGGTGGCGGCACCGGGGCCGCTGCTGGCCTTGGGCCGTGCTTTCTCATCTCCCAGCGGAAGCCCCGGGTGGCCCTCCCACCCTCTCACCCACCTTACCCCCTGCTCCCCGCCCGCCTGGAGCAGCCCCCCACCAGGCCTGAGACACACCAGGGACCTCGGAGTTCCAGGTGGGTCGATGCAGGAGGTGGGACAGACGGCCTGGGAGCCGTCTCGGGGTTCAACCCTGTCTCTGTGCTGTGTGCCCTCAGGCAGAAGGTTGCACCTCTCTGAGCCTCAGCGTGGCCTCTGCACAGCGGGGGCCGGTGACTCCTTGGCACGGTGTCCCCCCAGAAGTAGGTCTTGCCCTGAGCTTGCCCGGGGAGGGGGTGAACGCCCCATCTGAGGGGGACGAGGAGGCCAGCCCCCTCCCGACAGTCTGGGTGGTCCAGACCCTGGCTGTCCCATCCCGGGAAGAATCCCGAGGGAGCGGGTCCCTGAGGCCCAGGCGGGGAGCCGGCCGGGCCCCTTTAAGGCTGGGCGCTGGCAGAGGAGGGAGAACGCAGAGCAGCCTTTGTAAACCTCTGAGGGCAGCGTAACAGCTCCCAGCTGTGGGCGGGCGCGGGGCCTCGCGGGGCTGGAGGCTGGAGGCTGGAGCGTGGGCCGGGCGGGGACCAGCCGGAACAACAGGCAGAAACAGGGAGAGCCCTGAGTTCGAGGGCGGTGGGCCCACCGTGCAGTCGGGAGCCAGCGCGCGGGAGGGAGGCCCCACTTCCCAGGGGCCTTTTCTGAACCCGGGGACTGTCAGCCCCGGTCACAGCCCATCACAGCCGACAGTGAGGACGAGGGGGAGGGTCCCTCCTATCCATCCCCTGGAGCGGGGAGCGGGGAGGGAGCGAAAGTCACTCCCAATAGCCGGCTGGCTCGCCCGCTCCGGCAGCTGGGCTGGAGCCCGCAGCTCCTTCTGTCACGGGTCCTGCCAAGCACAGCCCGGGGCACCGTCCCCAGAGGGCCCTCCTCAGACCCGCCACCTGGACCCTCACCTTCTCTCGCCCGGAAGTCCCGCTGCGGCCCCCGTGGGCCTGTCCGCCGGCCAGCCCTCTCCGGCCGGGCCCACGGAGCCACGCACTCATCCTCCTAACGTGCCCGACGAGCCCAGTGGCTAGAGCTCAGTCTGGGGACTCGGGGGTCCCGGGTCTGATTCCGGTCCAGGGCGATGCGTCGGCAGGCTCGGGACCTTCGGTCTGCGGACCGATGCTCTAACGCGAGCCCACAGCCAGTCCCTGTTTTCAAAGCCCAACCAACCACAACCCGCATCACACACTGCCCCAGGGGTGGCTTTGGTGGAAGGAAGACGGGAGAAAGGCCAGGAAGTCCCTCTTCCCCGGAGGCCGGCACGGGGGCCCTTGGCAGGAACGCTGGCTCCGTGGGGCCGTCGTGGGCAGCTGGGCTGGGGGCGGGGAGGCGCTGATGGAGGGGCCTGGGTGTTTCCACGCCACCAGCGTGTTCCGTGCAGTAACCCAGGCCCCTCCCGTGAAAGCCTCCCCGGCCTCGCGGCCTCTCCTGCTGCCTTTGTTCAAGGTCAACTTCTCACAAGTCCACACCCTCCTCCCCACCCCCCCGGCCCCCGAGGTTTGGCACTCACAGCTTTGCTGAGCACGAGGAAAGGAAGCCTCAGAAAAATAGTGTGTGCCCAGCCTCTCGCCCTGAGCCCCCCTCCCGCAGGGCGGGCCCCTGGCCGGTCCCTCAGAGCCAGGAGGCAGGAGCGCTGTCTGAGGCCGGGCCCCGGGCGGGGGTCATGCCTTACCCCTCCTGAGAAACGGGCGTGACGAAAAGGTCGCCGTCTCTCCTGATAACGGGCTCGTGTTCTGGCTTCGGCCTCTGTTGGGTTTGCTTTTCACTACAAATAAAACACCAGCCCCTCCCCGCTGGGCCCCGGCAGTTCGGTGGTGAACATCCACCCATGAACCAGGAGGTCTCGGTCCGATTCCCTGTCGGTGCACAGGCCTGGGTTGTGGGCTCAATCCTCAGTCGGGGGCGGGCAGGAGGCAGCCAATCCATGATGCTCTCTCATCATGGATGTTTCTCTCCTTCTCCCGCTCCCTTCCTCTGTGAAATCAATAAACAACACCCAAACAAAGAAAATAAAAGAATGGCTTAAACATCCCACCCAGGGACCCCAGGACCAGAGCCCCCAGGGCATTTGCACGGCATCAGTGCGGACTTTGGTTTCCTTACGCACTGACGCCGACGAGCGCGGTGTTTGGCACGTGTGTCCCATCCTAACGGCAGTACAACCTTCCTTTGATTTTGCCTGTCCTTCAGCCTGCTCCGGTTCTGCTCCGGTTCTGCTCCGGGTTCTGCTCCGGGTCGCCTCCTCAGGAAGCAAAGGGGATGGTTGGTCCCTATTCTCAGATGTTGAGTGATTTCAACAGATAAGACTGCTGCCGCCTCATCACCTTTCTCCTAAGATGGTCACTCACTGCAGGTAAACGCAGGCAAACTGTCGGCAGCGATGGCGATGTCCATCTGTATGTATAAAAGGCTAATCTGCTAAGTGCCCTCCCACCGTCTGACCGGTCCCTGTGATGAGGAAAGGTCGCTATGACCAGGGGGCAGACGCTCAATGCAGGAGCTGCCGAGCTGCAGTGACTTGGCAGCGGCGGTTCTCAGGTGATGCACCCCGAAACCAGAGAGGAGGGAACCCGATTCCTCGTGGGGCCGCGCGATTCCACCCTGGGCCGTGGGTTATGTTGTTGCTGGGCACTGTCAGCCCCGGATCTGGTTTGCCGCACACATGCATTTGCGTTCCGCACCCTGTACCACAGCAACTTTGCAGAGCGCCCTCTCGCACTCCGGGGCCCCTCGGGGGATGTCCGAGAGCCGGTTTCGGCCCGATCCCCGCAGGCCGGACCAGGGGCCCCCGCCTGCCGGAGGGACCCCCACTCACTCCGCAGACGCCGGGGAGGGACCGCGGGAGGTTGTCTCCAGGGCGTGTCCGGCCCGTCTCACCCAGGCCCACCCCGCTGGCCACCTGCTAATGAATTTCCTTTCCCTGTGCATGAATCCGTGCACCGGGTCACTAGTATAAATATAATTATCGCTGCCAAAGTGACCAGACAGGTTTGTAAAGGCTGGGGTGTGCTTGGGATGGTCTGATCTAAAGTAGAAGCCAGACGAAGTGCAGGACTGAGCTCCAATGGCAGGGGAGGGGGGTGGGGGGCCTGGGAAGGACACTGGCTGCTGGTGATGTTTCATTTCTCGTCTGGATGGTGTGTCCCCTGTGCAGAGGTGTATCAAGCTGGACCCTTGAGATCTGTGTCCTTCACTGTGTGTATGTTGTGCTTGAATTTTAAAATAATGTCCTTCGGTATCTGCCTAGCAGGGGACCCATGATG